GGATCCTAAGGCTGGCCACGGGCAGCTCAGAGCCTCAGTCTGCCCATCTGCATACAGGTGCGAGCACACGTCCATTGCAGAGTGGTGAGTGGGGGAAGGAACAGGAAGTGCACAGCCCAGAGCTTCGTATACAGTAGGTGCTCAATAGATGGGGATCCCCACCCTCTTGCCCGTGGTCCCCATCACAGCCCTCTTTGCAAATGGGCAGGGAATAGGACTGCTTTGTGCCAGCTGCAGGGACAGGCACTGGCAGGTGGCTCCGGGGACCAGGCTCTGTCAGCCCCGAAGCCCTGGGGTTTCCCATGCCCGGAAGGAGCCTCCTGGAGCTGGAAGGTGGACGTGGGCCGCCCAGGGTGCTGGGAGCCGGGACAAAGCCCCACTATGCCGGCACTCACGCTGCTGCCTGCAGAGTGTGAACCTGCTGACCCAGCCCGCCCCGGCCCACAGACGCCGGCGTCTCCTGGCCCAGCCATTGTTCCCACAGTGCCAGGAGGTCGCCCAGGGTGATGCTGCCCGGCGGCGTCCTCTGTGGGTGCCGCCGATGATGCACTTGGCCTGGCCGAGGCGGGTCTAAGCTGCTCTCCATCCCCACCACGTGTCCCGGGCCTGGGCGGGGTGCCGGAGCCCGGCTGACTTTAAACAGAGAGTAGGTGTTTCGTGGCAGTGTGTGGGCAGCCACATGTGCTCATCTGGTCGGTAAATGTTTGTCGAGAGCCCACGGCGGGGCAGGCACCGAGGCTGAAGATCGAGAGATAGAAAGATCTCCACTCTCGCGGAGGCTGGACTGCCAGACACGCTGGCTGCTCTGTGCCACGGGCGGCGCTCGCTGAGCCAGGCCCAGGCAGATCTAACAACAGGCTGCGCATCTCCTTAGTGGGCAGCACGCTGACTGCTGTCCAGAAATGCAGGTGGGACCCGTGTGTTAGGCCACTTGTTAAAGAAGCGCTCCCAGAAGCCACTGGTCCCGGCAGGAGAGGCCACTGTAGGGACTCCTGCCTCGGCCTGGTCCCCTGCAGAGCCCAGAGCACACGTGGCACTCACAGCTCATCCTGACTCCAGGCGAGGGGCGCTAGGGCCCGGCACTGGTTAAGGAAGCCCCCAGGCACTGGGCTCTCCCAAGGCAGGTGCGGTGGCTCAGGTAGTCTCCGGGGGAGTCCCAGGTGTTGGCTGCCAGAGGCCGGAGTGAGAGAGGCTGAGGCAGCTTCAGAAACAGGATGTGAAGGGACCAAGCGCTGCTGCTACGAATGTCGTGAGGGAGCCGTGAGGTGGGGGAAGGCCCGGAGAGCCCTGCCCAGAGCCCAGGGAAAGAGGCATCAGCGAGGGCTTCCTGGAGGAGGTGACCCCGTGGGCGCAGTGAGTACAGGAAGCCAATCCACAGATGTGTGCGCACACGCAGGGTTGGGATTTTAAGCCAGGTCTGCGGATGCTAAAACCCTGTTTGCTTTACCTCACCTTTTCTGCAAGAACATTTTTTCCCTTCCATTCGTGGCTTCACAGGCCCAGAGATGAACAAGGGGTGGAGGGGGTTTTCGTGGCCAGCCTGAGCAGCTCCTCCTTAGGTTTTCGGGAGAGGGAGCCGGGGCCTGGAGAGGGGCAAAGCCTCGCCAGTGTCACACAGCAGCCCGGCCCCAGCCTCCGAGCCCCAGCCCCGGCCGGGCTGGCTCAGTTCCAGCCGCCTCTTGCCTCCTGGGAGCTGGGCTGTGCGTCTGCCACCCAGGCGGGCCAGGCTGTGTCCTTCCTGGAAAGGACCCCGCGCTCGCTGGGGAGGCGAGACTGCGGGGGTGGCCAGGGCGGCACAAGGCGGCGCCCGGCTCCTGCAAGGCAGTGGGATCGCCCAGGTGAGGACAGGTCATGGGGGGGCGGGTGTGAAATGGCAAAGGGCCGTTTGTCTGTCGTGACGGGGTGGGTGGTCGGTTTACTGCTGGCAGCTGGGGTCTTGTGTGGAAAGTGAGCGCGTCCTCACTGGGTGCCCCACCCCAGTCCCCGACCCCCGATCTCAGGGGTGGGGAGTCCGGCTCACTTGAGACACTTCCGCGAGAGAATCCGCCTTGCTCCTGAGGTTGCCCGGGGTGCATTTCTTGTCTCTGAGTAATGGCTTTTCACAATCCACCTTTTATATTCGTCTAAGCAGTGTGCCTTGGAAAGCCAGGGCTCCCTTAAAGGAGACGAGCCTGTCTATTTCCCACTCTGCTTCCGGAGCGTGGGGCACGCGAGCGCAGAGCTGGGGCAGCCCTGGCAGGCTCGGCCTGCAGCCTGCTGTCCGTCCCTGAGATGTGAAACCAGCTATCCACCTGTCTGTCTCCTCTGGCCCAGAAAAACCAAACAGGATGAGTACCCCAAGGCCCTGAGGCTTTCAAAACAGACCCAGCTTTAGGTGTTTTGCACAGAGCCAAGGCCACAGAGAGCAAAATGCACTCCCTGCTGAGCGCCTCTGGGGACGGCAGGTGGTTGCGGGCTGGCAGGGGACTGGGATGCTGAGCTGTGCCCCAGTGTTTCCCTGCAGCCCTCTTTTTTTTTTTTTTTTTTTTACAGGCAGAGTGGACAGTGAGAGAGAAAGACAGAGAGAAAGGTCTTCCTTTTGCCGTTAGTTCACCCTCCAATGGCCGCTGCAGCCGGCGCACTGCGCTGATCCAATGGCAGGAGCCAGGTGCTTCTCCTGGTCTCCCATGGGGTGCAGGGCTCAAGCACTTGGGCCATCCTCCACTGCACTCCCTGGCCACAGCAGAGAGCTGGCCTGGAAGAGGGGCAACCGGGACAGAATCCAGTGCCCCGACCGGGACTAGAACCTGGTGTGCTGGCGCCGCAAGGCGGAGGATTAGCCTAGTGAGCCGTGGTGCCCTACAGCCCTCTTGCAAGAGGTGGGGTAGTTCCTGGTTCTCTGCAGGCGGTGATGGAGAGAAAGGGCGGGGAAGCCAGGGGGGCCTTGCAGGATTCCCTCACAGGGATGTTAGATACATTGTTACAATTCATGCTCAGAAGTGGGTTGGATGGACTGAACCGTTTCTGCATCTGCTGACAGCAAACACTCATAGCGGTCACGTGACTCAGGGCCCCCCAGCTGGCTGGTGTGTGATGGGGCCAGGACTTGAACTTGCTCCCCGTGCTCTTTTGCTAGCAAGGGGACAAACATTCGTGGAGCATTTTTTCAGCGTCTTGCACTTTGGGTAAGTGACAGTTCTGCAAATTGCGGGTAAAGAACTTAATGTCTAATTAAACCCCGAAGATGTACAGGAATTTGAGACGAGTGACGAGTGATTGATGTTCGCGGAGGTGCCGCTCCCCGGTGGAGGCCGCCTGGCGGGGCCGGCAAGGCCGTTCAGGCGCTGACGTCTTGTTGTGATCCATGTTGTCATTTTTTCATTACTGATTAAAATTAAAAATCTGCTTGGCAAATCCATTGTAAAATTCCCTTCATGAGCATCGACGGGTACAAATTATTTTGTCAATCGCGTGGCAATCAAAGCGGGGCAGGAGACGGGTTGTAGCCCACTCCGCTTCCTTGTCTCCCTCTGGCTCACGCCAGCCACTTTTCACAACAAAGTTTTAAAAGGCGTAGGTAGCAGCCTTGGCAGTGCTTTAAAAAAAATTAAGGATTCATCTCTATTTTTTAATGGAATGTTCTGTGTGCGTGCGCCCCTCCCCCCCGCGAGCAGGGGGAGGGTTCGTGGTGGGAGTCAGCCTGCGCTCAGTAATTGTCTAATGCTGTGTAATGACAGGTGGATAATAGTAATAAAAGCCTTTATTAGGATAAAAAATCTGTTTTGAGAATGGAAGCGTAAATTGTCTAAAACTGCGAGGCAGAGAAAGACTCTTGTTCACGGGCAAACCAAGTGGAAAATATTTACAGCACCTCCATTGAGATGGTTTTGTGACTTGGTAGCCACGTGGCGCGTTGGGGGTGGGTGAGGCGAGGGACGGGGAAGGTGTGGGTGTCGTGGAGCCGTGCACAGGGCCCTGGGGGCCGGCGGACCCGGACGCCAGGCTTAGCTCCGTGCTGTGCAGTTCCAAGAAGGTCAGGTTCCCTCTCTGGGCCCTTGTCTCCTCTTTTGCAAAGGAAGTGATCCCTTTACTCAGGCAGTTCCTGTGTCGTCCCTGAGAGACGGCTCTGGGTGTGGGGCCGGAGGGCTGAGCCGGGTCCTGGTTGGCCGCAGAGGGGTCTTGGGTTGCGCCTTGGTCCTCCTTGCCTGTGAGTGAGAGTCCACAAGGCCACACCCACGGAGTGCCCGGTGTGCTGCTTGCCACATGGCAGGGCAGAAAGAGTGAAAACATCAGCATCAGACACACAAAGAAATCTCTGAGGGCCTCTGGGAGAAAGACTGCTTGTGTGTGTGTGTGAGCACGCGTGTACATGTGTGTGCATACGTGTGTACATGCATGTGCGGATGCATGTATGTGTGTGGCCCAGGCCCCAGGCCCCCAGAGCTCCCACAGGCAACACCACCGAGCTCCTGGGCACTTGACTGTACTTCGGGTACTCAAGGGTGTCGAGGGCGAGAGTTGCTGTCGTCCATTTCTGGGCCCCCAGGGTTTTTGTCGCTCAGGTGCCTTGCACGTGGCCTGGACTGAGAAACAGACACCTGGCCAAGGACTCGCGTGAGGAACACAGGACAGGAGCCTGCACCCATGAGAACTGCTGGTCCCCAAAGACCTGGAACCAGTGCCTGGCTCGGGGTCCCAGCAGCAGCCAGGATCAGCCCCTGTCCCAGACGCAGGACTGTCTGTGACCCCGGGGGAGGGGAGGGACACGCGCTCCCTGTGGTTCTCAGACACAGGGCGCACGGAGCTGTGAAAGGCACTTCAGCAACTTGGACTCAGTTAAAAATATTTCCTTCTGTTTGGGATTGTTCATAATTTATGCACTTTATTTTTTCCTTTCTTGTGTGTAAAACCCTGAAGTTTTCCACCCTTGCAGGAAAGACAAAAACAGAGTGTATTTTGAAGGGACTGGGATTGGAGGGTCATCTTTTGTGAAAAATAATATGCCTTCTGTCTTGTTACAGGTTTGCCTGCTTGTTAAATACCTTGAACACATCACGGCAGGGAGCAAGCCTTTGTCAACAACGGCAACTTCAAACCCGCATCCGTCCTAAACTAAGCCAGAATATTTATATCTTTATATCCCTCCACTCCTAGTTGCCACGAGAGCCTCACCCAGAGCAAAGGGAGATAAGAAAGCGCGAACAACCCCACATTCGCCCCCTACATCCTGCGCCCTGGGCAGGGCTTGTGGGGATCAGGGCCGGGGAGATTTGAATGGTTAAAAAAAAATCCCTTTAACGATTGAGCAATTTTCTTTTGGATAATGGTTCATTCCGTTTTATAGGATGATTTCCCCAAGCCTATATTTTGTGGATATTTTGCTAATGTGCCAACCCACAGCTGCAAAGATGGGCATGGCTTTTTCCGCACCCCCTGAGCCGTGAGTTCATGCTGGGCCCCCAGCGAGCCGGGCTGTCTCCTCTTATTTCTGAGAGAGGCAGGTGCAGGCCGGACAGTTGGGGGAGTGCTATCTGCTGTTCTAGTGTCCATTTGCACGTCCACCCACTTGCCTTATGCACCCGTCACTGCTGAACTGAGTTTAATTTAGCCGCTTTCTCCCCACGGACCCTCAACGGAGAACCTGGTTTTGTGCACAGGCAATGGGAGCCTGAACAGGATCCAAGCTCCGACTCTACACCAAGTGGAGGAGAGAAGGCTGAGCAGGGGGGATCTGGCTGCAGAAGGTTGAGTGGGTCGCTTCCCAGTTCCATCCTGTGTGCAGAACCCACCGACAAATCACCATGTCTGTTGATACGCAGAGTGGTGGGAGGCCGGGGTCAGTCGCCAACCCTCCCTCGCACTCCCTGCCGTATCAGTGGCAGGCATTACTAATCGATCCCAACCGTCTTTCCACCTGAGCCAGGGGCAGCCACCCCCAGTCCGTGGGAGTGGGCACAAGAAAGCAGGTGTGGGTGTTGGTTGGAGCCTGGTGGTTGGGAAGCCCTGGGGGGGATATGGGGGGAAGTCAGGGGTCGTGCTGACCCTGGGCCACAAGCACAGGCAAGGCTCTGTTACGTGAGGGGATGGAGGGAAGGCTCCACGCCCTTTCTGGCTCTGACACAGGTGCCGCCAACAGTCCATCTTACTGGGGATGGTTTTTAAGTCACGATGACAGAGGACCTATGTGTGTTGGGTGCTTTGCTGGTGGTGGGGCTGTGAAATCTGACACAGGCGTTGGGAAGGAGCTGGGCTGCTGTGCGACCACACTCCCGGCAGCCGCAGTGTGGGAGATAAACAGCAGAGGTTTGGGGATCAGGGGAAGAGGTCAACTTTGGGAAGGCCGGAGGGCTTCCTGGAGGAGCTGTTTCATCATCTGAGCCCGAGGCGGGAAAAGGAATTGAACGAGCAGCGAAGCCCCTGCAGCCTCGACTGTTTCCTCCGCAGAGTGGGGGCGACAGCAGCCCTCAGCACCCCGGCACAAGACAGTGGCTGGGAGCGCGCCTACAAATCCCTAGTTTGCCCGAGAAGCCTTCGTCGCGCACCTACTACGCGCCAGGCCCTGCTCCAAAGCGGGGGGTAAAGGGAGGGAGGGGGCGGCGGGGCGGGGGAGGCAGCAGCTGGCCTTTCAGTCTGCTCTGGGGTTGCAGCTTCAGACCTGGCTGGGTCCGTGCAGAGGAGGCAGTGCCGATGGTCTGTGGAAGCCGGGCGCTTACGCCTGGTGATTCACAAACCGGTGCAATGCACTCTGGGATGGAGAACAAGACCGACTTCCCGGGCCTCGTCGGTCCCTGGGAGGTGGCTGCTGCGGGTTTGCTGGCGTGCGGGTGTGAGTGCGACTCACAGGAGAGAACCTGTGGCGTGGCACGGGCTTCACGGGGTGCCCAACCCCGGCGGCATCCGTGGGTCAGCTGGAGCCCCGCCCCTGCTGGCTGCAGGGCAGGCTCCCCAACACAGCCCCTCCCAAGTCTCCCAGGGGAGCTTGGGACCCCCCCCCCCTTACAGGTGTAAAGGCCCAAGGTCACTCAGCCTTGTGGGGAGCGATCCCACAACAAGCCAGTCCGAGCCCATCTCGCTGGAATCCACTCCTCCACCTGCGTGCTGCCTGGCTCTGAACTTTGGCCTCCCAGGGACCATCGGGATGGTCAGGGTTAGGTGCAGGGCTCTGAGCCAGACAGCCCTGGGCCATGTCCTGGCTCCCTGTGGGACCCAGGTGCCGTCACCTCCCTGAACGGCAGTGTCTTCATTGGTAACATGGGGAGGTAAGGAGCTGACTCGGGACCCGGCCTGGTGGAGGGGGGAGGGAGGCAGAGCAGGGCTGGGGGCCTCCATCTCTGCTGTGGGCAGCGGCCCAGGGCGGTTCTGTCACCCACCCCCGAAGCTGACACGGCCAGCCCGGAGCCCACGGCGTCCCGAGACGCCCTCTCTGCCGCCTCCGTGGGTGCTGATGCATACTTGTCGTGGGCGATGTTCCCACTATCAGACATTTGGCGGAATCAGAAAAATCCATTCCCACCCTGTGTGATGCATTTTCATGTGTCTTCCTTGACAGGGCTGGGCGTGTCAGGGTGGGGTCCCTCTGTCTCGTGGGTGGATGGGCAGGGGGCCTGGGCTGCTCAGGGGACCCTTGCTGCTGTCAAAGCTTGCAAAGACCAAGGTCAGGGCTGGTCCCTTCGCTTCGTTCTGCAGCCTCCAGAGACTCGGGGTGCCCCCACACCCAGCACCTGGGTTTGTTCCCCTTCTCAACACGTGGCCCTGCCTCCTGTCTCCGAGCCTTGGCGCTTGTGACATGGGTGTAATAAAAATGTCCATGCGAACAGTTACCTCGCCTGCAGCAGTCACCCCACCATGGGGGGCGTTGTGAGTGTCACTTTGCTTTGTTGATTACAAAGGGCTCCTGGAAGGCAGAGGGAAGCCCAGGGACTTTGCCAGACCTGCCGGTGTCACCTCCCTGGGAGCAGCTGGAGCGGGCAGCAGTGCAAGCTGGCTCAGGCGGGGGTGGGGGCACCTAGGGTCTAGGGATATCTGGCATTCTGGAGGTGTCGAGCTGGGGAACCCAGGGCTGCACATCTGTGACCCCAGCCCTGTGCTTGACCTGTGGCTACCTGAGGGTCCCTCCCTCTGGAAACACAGCCACTGGAAGCCTCTCGGACCCAGAGGGTTTGGCAACCATGGCTTCCCTGGCAGGGGACCCTGTCGATTCCCTTTTCATGCCAAGTGAGGCTGCAGCCTGCTCTCAGAGTCTGTGTGGGGCCTGCGTGGTGGCCCAGCGGGTGAAGCCGCCTCTTATGATGCTCCCATCGCATATCAGATGGGATATGGTTGGAATCCCGGCTGCTCCACTTCCCATCCAGCTCCCTGCCAATGCGCTGGCGATGGCTCAAAGTGCTCGGGCCCCTGCACCCATGTAGGAGACCAGGATGGAGTTCCAGGCTTCTGGTTCAGCCTGGCTCAGTCCTTGCTGCTGTGGCCATTTGGGGGAGTGAACCGGTGGATGGAAGAAATCTCTCCCTGCCCCCTTCTCTCTCTCTGCATGTGAAATAAATAAGTAAATCTTAGACAGACAGAAGTTGTCATCTGTGTGCAGGGTGGTGTAGAGCAGGGCCACGCGGCCGGGCCACAGGACCAGTCCCCCCCTCCAAGCCCCTCTACACCCTTCTTGTCCCCTTGGTGAGCACGTGACTGGGCAGGGACCACCCCAGGGTTTCTGTAGGAGTCCCTCTCCCTCGTGGGACCATACAGACCCCCTTGCAGCTCACCCGAGGCTTGCGTGATGGGCCAGGCCTGATGCTGACTGAGACACTCATCCCTGCTGTGGGAGGGCTCAGGACTCCTCCCCCAGGGACTGGTGCATTTTGCAGTACTCCAGAGTTGGAAATGTTGCGTTGGGATAGTTTGGAGAGCCTTCTCCTTCTTCAAGATGTATTTATTTATTTGAAAGGCAGAGTTACAGAGAGGCAGAGGCAAAGAGAGAGAGAGAGAGAGAGAGAGAGAGAGAGAGAGGGAGAGAGAGAGAGAGAGAGGCCTTCCATCCACTGGTTCACTCCCCAAAAGGCCGCAATGGCTGGAGCTGGGCAGATCTGAAGCCAGGAGCCAGGAGGTTCTTCCGGGTCTCCCATGTGATGTGGGGGTCCAAGACTCGGGCCATCTTCTACTGCTTTCCCAGGCCATAGCAGAGAGCTGGATTGGAAGTGGAGAAGCTGGGACTTGAACCAGCGCCCATATGGGATCCTGGCACTGCAGGCAGGGGCTTTACCCATTTGGAGAGCTCTCTACACACAGAAGGGTGGGGATTCTACCTGTGCCACCCTAAATGGCTACTCTTGTTCTCTGATGCCCCTAGAATGGACGTAGGAGAGACCACAGCGTCCTGTGCACGGGTCAGGGTCAGGCCTGTTCCTGCCGGAGGGTTTATTGAGCCTCAGCAGGGTCCATGCTTGGTGAGCTCTCGCTGGCCCCAGCTGCATCCCAGGGCCCTGGGTAGACTCTCGCGCCTCCACCTGGCTCGTCAGGTCGTTGGACCCGATTACCTGCTGGGCAGTGAGCTCCTCGAGGGTCTGCATGTTTCTCTCTTGCTTGCGATGCCTCCTGCTGACCCGGGGCCTGCAGTAACAGGCGCTTACACGCGTGTGTGGGGACCTGTAGCTGGCAGGGAGCTTCAGGCGTCATGCGAGGAATAACAGGTGCCTTGGTGATTCGGGGCTGTGGACACCGGGAGCCTCCGCACCGGTCAGCACAGGGGAGGCTGCAGGTGGACTTCTGGCTTTTGCGCTCAGTGCTGGGACTCTGCCCTGTGCTGGGCTTGGGCCGCCAGCACAGCTGTTCTCTGGAATGCCCGGTGTTGCTGTTGCGGGGTGAACGGCTCGCTGGTCTGTCAAGGTCCCACTAGGAGGTGACCCACGCGTCTGCCCGTGTGGCAGTGCCTGGCTTCGAGGCACCAGGGAAGCAAACCCTAGCACGTCCTCAGGAAGGGAAGAATTTCGAAACATCGGCGTCTGCATTTGGAGCTGTGGCACGGTCTTTTGGAGCCGTAGATAACTCCAAGGGTGTTGCTCCCTCCCTCCAAGTCTCTGCGTCCTGGTGGGTAAGGGCCAGAATACGAGGTTCACCAGGCCACTGCGGGGATTAAATGAGGTAATACATTAAAAAAACCCGCACGGCACTCCCTTCCTTAGAGGTCATCTATAACCAAGGACCGGCTGCACGGGTGAGGACAGCGGCCAGAGTGGGGAGAATGAAGCCGTCCTGCTCCAGCCACAGAGAGGGTGAGGTGATGGCCGTGATCCCGACCTGCGCTTCCCAGGGGCGCTGCTATGGTGACTGTAGAACTGGCCCCAGTGGCTGCCCTGTCCCATGGCCACGCCCTCTGCAGGTGGTGCCAGTTCCATCCAGTCTTTGAGTTCAGGCTGACCAGTGACTTATTGTGGCCAAGACAGTGCAGAGAACGTGGCCCCAGGCCAGTTTTTGGGTTTAGGCTTTGAGCCACAGTGCCAGCCACTAATGTGGGTGCACGCCTTGGCCGAGGGCCACTGAGCCTGGTCCAGCCGATTCCCAGACAAATCGGAATGATACGGGCTACGCTTCGGGGTGGCTTGGTCACGTGGCACTGTTGTGGCGCTGCCCGGCGGATAACGAGAGCCATTGCAGCAGGACCGTCAGGGGATTTGACCGGGGAACTCAGCTGGGCAAGCAAAGGCTGGGCTGAGTGCCGGGGCCACCCCGGGTGGGGGGGGAGGCGCGTCTGCAGGCAGGACCGTGTGTGTGGTGGGCGGAGGGTGGCCCAAGCAGAAACTGCAAGGGGCTGCGGCCGTGGGTGGCTGCAGTGGGAACGCTGGGTCCCACCCAGGTGTCTGTCAACTAGCCTTTCACTTCCAGGGCAGCCGCCATCCCACTCTGCCAGAGCCGCACCGACGGTGCCACCTGAACCGGGGCCAGGGCCGGGGTTAGCACAGGGCAGGCCCGAGGGGCTCTGCTTTCACGGGTCCCGGGGGAAGCAAGTGGGTGCCCCTGGGTGCGAGGGCTGGAAGGTAGAGGGTGTCTGGTCCAACCCGTCCCCTCGTGCTCGGGACGCGAGGGGACCGGGGAGAGGAGGGCTGATGCTGTTCTAGAATGTTCCAGTGCACACCACGTGACCCGCTGCTCTTCCTCGGATGTGGCCTGCTGTGTGACTGGGGTGAGCCCCCAGGGACACTGGCACGGCTAGCGTGGGTGGGCCCCAGAGCAGGGTGCGCTCTGTCCCCGGCGAGAGCACGTCGGGAAGGCTGCTCCAGTTCATTCTCTTTCAGCTCCCGGGGGCAGTTGGCTGTGTTTTTATTTGATGTCACTCATTTGATACACAAGGAAGCAGACAGAGAGGCTGAATAAGCCACGTCCACGGAGCTCGCGGGTGGCTGCCCTGGCCGTGGAGTGTATCTTTCCCCTGCACGGCTGCTCTGTGGACCTGAGCCCCTTCCGGTGGGACAGTCTGGGGTCTGCGACTGTGGTGGGGGGAGGGAGGGGGTTCAGATGGAGCACGGCCATCGTTTGTGGCTCAGCCCTCAACCTTGAACTCCA